TTTCAAATTTCTTTAAACAATTTCAGAAAATAATTTCTTTTAAAAAATTCATTTCTCGAGCTTGGGACCTCGGAATTCTATTCCGGGCATACGCCCAAGTCCCATATTTTCCTACGGACCCTCCCAGACCTTCAAACACGGGTCCGGGTCCGTTTACCCAAAACGTTGACCGAAGTCAAATTAGCTCATTTTATGATCAAAACTTATCAATTTTCACAGATTATCATATTTAAGCTTTCCGGCTACGCGCCCGGACTATGCACGCAAATCGAGGTGACTCAAATGAGGTTTTCAAGGATTCAGAATAAGGAAATTTTATTTTAAAGCAAGTGATGACCTTTTGGATCATCATAAGTTTTTGGATCGTGACACGCATGAGGTAAAAGATGCCGATAACCTTTGGATTTCAGTAGCACATGACCATGGGAGTCGATTCCAGCACAAAATCGAAGAAATCCCCAATTTCTTCGGCAAGAAAATCACGCTCCAGATGAAAACCCCAAATCACTAAACCAAACTGAAGAGACGAAAACTCTGGTCAGGGGTAACACTGAAGTGAAGCTCAGGCCAAGATGAAACTGAATCCCTGCTCTGATACAATGTTAGCATCACCAGATTCTATTGATGAACGAAAGAAATTGAAGAAAACTCTAAGGTTTCTAAAATAGAGAAAGGAGGTCGGTTAGTCTCTAGAACAATCAACTAACTTGTGTATTATTATTTCACTACTTAGTTTATATACAATTACACACATATATTGATATAAAATGTACAACTGAAAAATAGAGATACAAAAGTGTTGGACTTGGTGGACTAATGTACTAATGGGTCTGTGTTAGTGGGTTGTTCATCTTCAACTTATGTTGTTGGGCCTGATCTGTAATATCAGTGTTAACATTACAACTTTCAAGAGGGAAATAGATTTGTTCTAAGTTAAAAAAAATTGTTCCTAATGTAAATAAAGAAGTAAAAGAAAATATTTGTAAGATTACTAACGTAAATAAAAGGGTAAATACATTTCAGGAAGGAATCAAATTTCTTTAAACTTTATTCATGTAAATAAAAGATAAAGTGTATTTTCTATCCTAAATATTTTTTGGCTGAATCTAATAATAGTACTTTGAATTTTCAATAAGACCATATTTCTTAAATATTTGCGTTCAAATGGATAAATATCTTTCCATAACTATTCGGATTCTTTTTCTTATTTTTAGCTTTTCCGTTTCCTAGATTTAGCTCCATCGGTTCTTTTCAAATCTTTCCTTTTGTATTACTATATCTTTTAAGTCCTTCTATTCTAAAACTCGCATCCTTATATTTAGCCTTTTCATATCTTTTCAAAATTCAAGTATTTATTAAAAGTTAATTGAACAATAAGTTTATCTCATATGAAATGTACTCATGAAAGCATGGGTGGCTCTAGGGTAAAGCCATTAAAGCTTGTGCTTTAGGCCCCAAAAGTCAAAGGCCTCCCAAAATTTTTTCTATTAGTTATAATTATTTATAATAGTAAGGTTTTTTTTTAAGTTAATAAAACATTAATATTTTGTTTCAATTCACTACATTGGTTCTAGTTATTAAATATGTTATTAGCAGATATAAATATTGATTAATTTAACTCAAAATTTTAAAATATTAGACAATGTTATACTGTGGAATACTTAAAGAAAACTTAAAACCTTGAAAGAAAATTTGTTAAGACCATACAATTTTTTCTTGGTTATCTAAATTAATCATGTCTATTTGTCCGACTGTTATCACATTACTAGTGTTATTTTCTCACATCTTCTTAAGTTTTGGCTTTAGGCCTCCGATTTTATTGAGCCACCCCGATGAAAGTTATAAAGGGCAATCAAGATCTCGTATTGAATATAAATCTAGATGATATAAAGTATAATAATAAAATATAGAGCAGCAAAATAGAAGTAGATTTAAGGAAGAATTAATATTTGAATTAAATAAAGAAATGACACTATTATTGCCATGAAAGAAGAAGGAAGATTGTTACACAAATAACGTAAAAATGGTGTGTAGTAGCTACTAATTAAGTGTGTCTTTAATTTTTATCCACTAATTATAATGCTCAGCAAAAATAGCCACTACTAATAGAAAAAAGACAATTTTACCCTTTCTTCCTCTCTTTCGCGTTTCATTTTCATCTGGAATACCCAAGGTGATTTCATGGTCGGCCTCCTCCATGCTTGGTCAACAGCATCAATCCCTCAATCCCTTATCTGTGCACATCAATCCCTCAATCCCTTCTCTCTCTCTCTCTCTCCAAAAGAAAATGTTGGAACCCCTCTTCATTTCACACACTGTTGCTGCTTCTCTCAAGCACAAACTTCAACTTCCAAAACCCAGACACTTTATAATAAACCCATGGATGAATTGCAGTTCAGTTCGACTCACAACTACTGCCACTGCCACTAAGTGTAGTGAAAAAGTGAATAGATGGTCCCTTTATGGCATGAATGCTCTTGTAACTGGTGGCACTCGAGGCATTGGGTACTTTTTCATTTGCTAGTTCATGATTTATGTTCTGTTTCAAGATATTTATAGTCTTCAGTTCATCTACCATTAAAAATAACTATTATGCATATTGTTTCCATCCTACAAGTCAAGAGAACAGGAAACAAATGACATACGTTATAAAGCAATCCTTGTAGAATTAAGAACAGGTGTACCGTAAGTGCAAGACCAAGATAAGGACTGCCTGTCCTTAACATTTAAACATGGAATTAAAAGTTAAGGACTTCGAGTCCTTAAATTTTGAACAAGAAATTAAAACTTAAGGACTGTCGGTCCTTAACTTTTGAACCAAAAATTAAAACTTAAGGACTACATGTCCTTAACTTTTGAACCAGAAATTAAAAGCTAAGGACTGCCTGTCCTTTAACATTTAAACATATAATTAAAGTTAAGGACTGTCAGTCCTTAACATTTAAACATGGAATTAAAAGTTAAGGACTGCCAGTCCTTAACTTCTGAACCAGAAATTAAAAGCTAAGGACTGCCCGTCCTTTAACATTTAAACATGTAATTAAAGTTAAGGACTATCAGTCCTTGACATTTAAACATGGATAAAAGTTAAGGACTGTCAGTCCTTAACTTTTGAACAAGAAATTAAAAGCTAAGGACTGTCTGTCATTTAACATTTAAACATGGAATTAATAGTTAAGGACTGTTAGTCCTTAACATTTAAACATGTATTTNCAAAACCCAGACACTTTATAATAAACCCATGGATGAATTGCAGTTCAGTTCGACTCACAACTACTGCCACTGCCACTAAGTGTAGTGAAAAAGTGAATAGATGGTCCCTTTATGGCATGAATGCTCTTGTAACTGGTGGCACTCGAGGCATTGGGTACTTTTTCATTTGCTAGTTCATGATTTATGTTCTGTTTCAAGATATTTATAGTCTTCAGTTCATCTACCATTAAAAATAACTATTATGCATATTGTTTCCATCCTACAAGTCAAGAGAACAGGAAACAAATGACATACGTTATAAAGCAATCCTTGTAGAATTAAGAACAGGTGTACCNAATTATCATAGGAGGCGATGTCTATAACTTCATCAATCCTCAGTTGATCGTCGCTGGGTAACTGCTGCTGCTGCTCGCTTCTTCTCTTTGTGTAATTGCTGCTTGTGTTGATAGCGTAGGTATAAGTTATACCAGAAAGGTATTTTCGTCCAGTCAGGTACAAGTTTTTTAAGGAGTGACTAAAGTCTAAATACATTGAAAACAGTGACTTTAAAATAAAAGTCACTGCTCTTAGCGGCTATTTGTGCCGTTCGCCCACAAATAGCACGTCAAATTCACAGTTTAATTTTTTTAGTTAGTGTATTAGATATTGATTAAATACAGTTATATATAGTATACATTTACTGCTTATTTTTAGTTTAAAAGAATAGGTGAGCGGTTAATTCTTCTTCTTTTTATAAAAATCCAAAAAAAAAAAAAAAAATCTAAAGGCCCAATACTCGTTTCTCAAGAAAGGGATTATTAGCTGTCATAAGTCAATCTCCCCTGTACTCCTAACTGCAGTCTCTCTCTCAAGGTCAGCAAAAATTTACTCCATTTCTTAGCTCTGTGCTTAATTAGTTCATTTCGTGTTTATATATATGATATATTTTATCAGGACTATGATCTGAGTTTATGTTATTCATTTCTTATCTTGTATAATGTGGAGGAATTTCTACTATCATCCTGCTGTTTTTTTGGGCATATAACATAATAGTGTCAGGATTTCTTTATGTTAGTTCTTTTTTAATCAAATAATTAACTTGTAATACAGACACTATGAGCGATCATAATGTTGGATTGTCAAAAGATTGTGTTGCATGCATGTATATTCTGCTTAATTCTTAAATGAGCTTTTTCTCCTGTTGCATTGTCCTTTTGCAACCTTCCAATATACTGATTATAATTGAAAACCTGCTTCTAGTTACCTGATCATTTCTCTTAGACTTAGTAGTACTTGAAATCCACCATGAAAAAGTTAATCAGGTATGGGTTCGACCTTTAAAATTCTTAGCACGAACTTATTGTACTTTTGGTTCAAATCTAATTATGTGTTGGAATTTAGTGGGTTTTCACACACACACAAAAAAAAAAATGTAACACTCCGCACTGGAAATATTGGATTCAGATGAACCCGCATCTGAAGAGCTGCATCTGCCACTGCCATCATGCATTTGAATTCCTTCTTAGTAAGTGGCTATTTGTTCTGCTCCCATAGTAGAGGCACGTGAGCTTCGGCCTCAAGACCTTCTTGTTTCCACTTATCTTCCATGGTTTGAGTCCTTTATGTGAAGGGGTTACCACTCTAAAGATTTACTTAAGCATCAGAAAGATTTTGATTATTGTTGATTTTATTTTATTGATTCACCATTGATGTTGTATTCCTTCGAAAGAAGGATCTTTAACTCTGTTCTTTCATCGCTTAACCTGACCGTGACCAGTTGCTTAGGTGAGTTGATCCGATAAGATAAGATGGTTGGAAGTTCAGTCAGTGATGATTGGGAATTTATTGGAAATGGAGCTCGGACACTACTTCTGATTGGGCGTACAGGTGACGGGAGAAGTGCCACGGGCAATAGCATTCTTGGAAGAAAGGCATTCAGATCAATGCCTAGCTTTAGTGGTGTTACAAGAACTTGTGAAATCCAGAGGACTGAATTAGAAGATGGACAGATTCTTGATGTGATTGATACCCCTGGTACAGTCAATTTTTTTTCTTTAATTAATCGCTTTGCACTGTTATATGTTAACTAAAACCTTGTAATCAATTAGTATAATTCTTAGAGAAATGTAAAGTCAATTATTAAAGAAAAGCTTAAGATATCTATTCTTTAATCTTTGTATGATTGACACTTCCTATTATATGACTAGTACCGTAAAAACAACCTATGCTTCTCTAGTTCTTGAATTCTTCAGGTAATCTGTAAAGTTACTGATAGCTTACATTGTGGGAATTGCAGGATTTGACTTAACAGCTAAGTCTGAATCAGTTGGAAATGAAATAATCAAAGGCATTGATTTGGCCGATGATGGCATCCATGCTGTTCTTTTGGTTTTGTCTGTACGAACTCGCTTTTCAAAAGAAGAACAAGCTGCTATCCAGTACTTTAGGGAGTTGTTCGGGGACAAAATTAGTGATTATATGATTGTCGTCTTCACTGGAGGGGATGAGCTTGAAGACAATGAGACGCTGAATGATCACTTAGATAGTTCCTGCCCTGAGCCTTTAAAGGTAAAATGATGTGCAGAGATGTATAGTCGGATGTATTTGCAATAGTGCGGCTTGGTATAAGCTGACTGATTCTACTAGCTAATATACGGGCATTTTAACTTTCATCTATTTAAGAGGTTTCTTCATTTTGTTCCAACTTTGAATGAGAAGAAGAATTTTCATTGGATTGTCGTGCCAATGTTTTTTCTGCATTAACTATGACTAAAGCGAGAAAAGTTTTCATAATTTTATGGTATATTGCTCAAGAGTGTCTGTTCCTTAAATTAGTTTGTCCTACCGTTACAGGAAGTTCTTAAGCTCTGTGAAAACAGACATGTGCTATTCGACAATGAGACTAAAAATCCAATGAAGAAAGCTGACCAATTGAGGGAACTTCTTTTCCATGTGAATATCGTTGTACAAAAGACTGGTGGAAAACCATATACGAATAACTTGTTCAAGGAAGTAAAGGTATGCATACAGCATTCAGTAATTGATTGGATTCGTTTCGCATTATTCGTTAGTTCTTGTGAAGGGAGGGAGGTAATTAATAACCTATTTTGTAAATATCGATTCTCATTTATAGAAGATGGAACTTCATAATGACAAGTTGGAGGCTAACTCTTCGCCGGGAAATATAAAGCAAGAGGTAACTGAGTTGAAGGAACAACTGCAGAGGTGGTCTTGCGAGGAGCAACATAGGCAACTATCTGAAATGGTAGGTACCACTATTGATGCACTTTTGCTTCCATTATCATTTGAAAATATCCGTTGTCAATGACATATAAATTACGTTAAAACAAAATTATCGTCAAGCACGAATGTTATATTTTCTTATTTGTTAATGGTGCCCCTTGAGCATTTTATCGACCTATCTTTACATATTTGATAGGTCGAAACTAAGTTGAAGGAGATCATGCATAGTCTTGAAAAGCATTTGGGGGTGGAAAAAAATGTGGAGAGCAACAATCAATTATTTAGAGATATCTTGGAGAAGAAAGCTCAAAGGGAGAGTAAGGCGCTGATCAGCCTCAAAGGTTGGTGTCTATTTTATAAGTTATTGTCTTTTTTTCTTCTTTTGTCAGCTTCAACTTCAAGTATTATTCAAACATATATAATTGCATATTTGTAATATCATTCATGTCATTATTTTCTTTCACTACTATTTTTAATTTAAACTTGTACATGTTGCTAATTCATTGACGTAATTGATCTTTGCAAAGTAGCTTAATTTTTCCAGTCTTTTACAGAGTTTTGTACTGCATGCCCTGTAAGTTAAAACTATCCGTTAGTATTAATATTTAGTACAGAATTCTAAGTTGTTCTCATTTCCTTTGAAGGTATAGAAAATTATGGTTCTTCCACTGTTTGTCTCATGTTTTGTTTCTTGTTGGCGTTGCGTAAAATTCTGACTTTTGTCTTCTGGTTTTGTTTGATGGATGAGTTAGGGGGACGTCGTTCATACAGCTGCTGCAAATGTCGAAGTCATCTCTCATTTGATGATGATATTGTTGAATTTTAACAAAATATTTGTCCCACATCGGTGGGAAAACAAAAGTTGGGGGGATTTTCCCCCTATAAAAG